GCCACCTGATATTCCTGATCACATGGAACTTTTGCAGAGAATGAAGAAAAAAACTGATGATAGTTTTGTTTATCTCGGATATGCAGTTCCGAAGTCGTCTGAGTTTTTTGATCCTTATTGTTTCAGGTAATAATTTAAAAATTTTACTTGAAAGTATTAGGATTTATGGCCAAACTTGATATCAAGCAGTATGATATCAGATTTCCACTTAAGGATTTAAAATTCTAGTAAAAATGGCCTTGTGTGGACTGCAACTTATTATATGAAAAAAACCTTTTCACTACAACTAAAGATTAAATTTTATTTACAGAGAAGTTACATATCAGGAGACCGATGGTGTTAATATAACAACAGCCTCAAGACATGGAATAACACAATTTGCAAGATACGAAGCCCTATTTACACCACTCGAAAAATGGGAGGAAAATTATGTGCGATTTAAAAAAGTCTCGACGGTAAATATTTTTTTTCCTTAATTACTCAATAAGTAATTGCAAAATTACAATTTATTTATATATATTTCTATTATCAATTTATTTTTTCAACAGATTCCAACTTTTTACAAATTTCGTCTGTGGAAAGGATTTCACGTTTGGAAAACTGGTTTGTCATGGAGGAAATATAAAGGAGCGCAGGCAGCCTTACAAAACTCTTTATATATTCTCGATGTACATTTAGCAAAAGCGATTCTTGCTTTAAGAAAACGATTATTCAATCTCACAAATGACTCTTTTGTGGACATGACTTATATAGAAAATATTCCTTTTTTCTACTTCATCGAGGATCAGGTGAAAAACGATTTACAAATTTTATGAAATTTATCAGATTCAATCCATTACAATATCAATATGTATAAATTTATTACATGGTCCAAAATTTTTTTTAGTTAAATTCAACTAATTGTTTTCTTTTTTTTCTAGTTAGGAAAATTCGAATACATAAGCAATGAGCTGGTCACTATTCGTGAAGATTCTATGACTCTTGTAGACGAAGCCATGCACGCGTCCTTACTAGCTCGTGGTTTTTACACCGACGATAGAAATTTTGCACCAGCTTCTGACACCAATTTAAAGAAAAGAAGAAAACATAAAACCTCCGGAGAAGGCCAAATCATGAGTTTTACGCAACGTGCAAATAAAAGAAAATATTGTGGAAGATTAGCAAGGTAATAAAAATTTGTTGAAATTTGGTCTACATAAAACTAAAAAAAATCCACTGTAGATTTCTAGGATACGTTGACTATTTCATGATATCCATGATGTACCATCTGATGTTTTGGTCATTTCGCACAATGGTGATGGCATTTGAGGAACAAATGGCATTAGGACCTAGTACTGAAGCCTTAGAAGGAAATAGCCCAGATGCAGTTCTTGAGAAGAAACGTCTGTCTAAATCGCCACAAGTTTGTACCTTATAAATAGATATTAAAAAATATATCTTAGCACTAGTAGACATTTCAAGCCATTCTGAATCGAATGAGACCAAATTTGAAAAAAATATGTGAGTGTGTGTGAACGGATTTTTTGCTGTAAATCGACGTTTTCTCAAAAACGGCTGGACCGATTTCAAAAATTTAAAAGCCTTTCCATATATCTATCGTTATATATATATAGTATCGTTTTTATGACGTTTGTCAAAATTAGGACTTTCATCGACGTTTGCTCAGAAACGCCTGAACCGATTTCAGAATTTTGAAAGCCAATCGATGTATTTCGATGTGGATTATCTTTTCTCAGTTTTGTGCTAAGCCGTTTCTTTGTAAATAACAGAAAAGCGAATAAATTTTCGTCCAACTTTTAGTTCTCAATTCTGAATCGATTTTAAAAAGTCAAAAACTGTTCGAAAGATGTTGACTGGGAATGATACTGATTAGTTTTAGATAAAAATCTACCGGATCGTTTTCCTCAAATTAACTGTTGAAAAAAAAATTTGCCGTTTTATTTGAACCTTTTTTTGGCAATAGATATAAAACATACTGAAATGTTACGGTCCTACGACAAATAGTTTAATGTTAAAAATTTATCAAAGTTTGAGAAGTGAAATGAGTCAAATATTATCAATTCATTAAAATTAAAAATAATAAGCTACCCATACAAGCACGTGTCTCTGTTATATTATTAATACTATAATTACTGTCAATATAAATGTGTTTGAGAATATTCTATTCGAAATCGCAATATTTAGATTGAATTGAAAGCGATAACTTTATTTTTGAAATAAACAGTTTTGGATTTTATCAAAATAAAATTCAATTCCGATTGTTTAAGTCTTACAAATGTCGGTGGGTTCATGCAACTTGTCTTAAGGCTAAATGCCACTTTCAGCTAGTTTTTTTTAATTCAACTCTCACAAAAGTAAGGTACAAGAACGACAAAATATACTTCTAAATAACATATAAAGAATCTTACTGCAGTATTGCCTTTTGTTATTTTGTTTTTTACAATCATAACTTTTTTAATTTTTTCTTGCATGATATTTTTATAAAATTTTATTATTTTTTGCAGAATCCAATGTTTGTATTCTTCATCAACATCACTGAAGATGAAATATGCCTAGATCCGCGAAAAACAATTGTCATGTCCACGTTCTGTGAACTTATAGAAATGTGGGAAGGATCAGTATTCAAGTTCAAACCACTTTTATCAGATCCATTCTACCTTCCTTTCACAGAGTAAGTAGTTTATTTTTAAAATATTTTAAAAAATTACCATCAATTATTTATCATTTTCAGGCCGACTATTTTAGGCAAAAAACAGGAAAGAGTATATGGTCGTGCACCAGATGTGAAAGAAATTTTACAGAGTGAGGATACTTACCAAAATTTGAGAGGACAGTTTTTTAAATTATTGGACATGAGTTTTAATAATACTTTCAAATATCTTGAAAGATTTGAAGATATGCGGTTACAGTACAAGGAAGATCTTACAATTGATCGTGATGAATTAAAACAGTGCAGAGGTATGATGGAAAAGTTTAGAAATTTTGGTTTAAATGTGTCCATATTTTTTAGCATTTAACTCTATTTCTATTTTAGATTTGAAAGAACATCGCCGAATAATGGAACGTCTCAAGAAAACAATAGACTTTGTTCAAAGAATACTTCCTGCTCAACATTTAGGATTATTTCTTCTGAAGCAAAATCGAATGAGGGATACAATTTTGCCAGTTCCCATGAGTATTTTGACGGAGGAAACCTACACTTTGCCTTTGTAAGTTAAAAAAAATTAAACTAGTGGGCCGCATGGCAGCGTGCCTTAAGGCAAATTGCTGGAACTTCCCGTACCGTAATTAAACATTCGAGAAATGAAAATAATCAATAATTGTTTTGAATAATTTCAAGTAGATTATTTATTACATATTGTAAACTTATAAGTGTTTTTTAAATTGGGCGACGAGCGTGTTTTTGGAACAATTTATGTAAGAGTCAATTTTTTTTAAATTTGATTTTTTGATAATTTAGAAATTTTCTGATAATTTAGAAATTTTCTCAAAATTTTCAATTTTTTTAGAAATTTGAATTTTTTTGGAATTTAAAAAAAAAACGATTTTTCTAAATATTTTGAGAATTTGAAAATTTTTGAAAATATTCAATTTTTTTTTTTGGAATTATCGTAATATTCTCAAATTTTTATAAGAAATCATTTTTTTTTTTAAATTTCTGAAAATTTAGTCTTATTTTTGGAAATGATGAAAAATTTCGAAAACTCGAATTTTTTGAAACTTTGAATTTTTTTGAAAATTTTGTTTTTTTTATTACCCAAAATTATTACATTTTTTGTAAATGCATTTTTTGCACATAGTCTGCTCAAGCAAAATGTTTTTTGAATTAATCTAATCGGGTGATCCGTTCTCTCAAAAACTGCATAACCGTTTTCACACCCTTTGCGCTCCATACCTCCGAAATAGCAAAAACGCCTCGCCATCGAGTATGAACCGAATGATTTTTCAATTTTATATATTGGTTATTCCATATTGTCGAAAATGTCGACTATCGAAAATGTCGAGGACATTTGTTTGAACCATATAAATAAAATTTAAAATTAAAAATCTTGGTACGGAACCCAAAAAAATTTATACAAAATGTGTACACAATATTAAAATCTCTATAAAATATCTGATAATTTGATGTATATATATCTAATGAATGTTTTTGACCGCCAAATGACATTTTTTAAACTTATTTTTTTTGAAAATCCATATTCGCTGGACCTGCCTTCCCAAAAATTTTACCAGTTGTTCATTTCGTCAATATATATAAGTAAAATGTTTTTTGAATTATTAAAATCGGTGTTCTCGAAATCGTCGACGAAAATTTGTATCCGCACACACAAACACAAACGCATCCATTTTTTTTAAGGTATGCCAAAATATTCAGAAAGCTTTGAAACGTATAGATATATAAAAATGTTCGTTTTCAATTTTTGTGCGATTACTATAACTTGCCCTACTGGAAGTTAGCAAGTAGATTTATACCCTAATTTATGTCTAATTAAATTTAGGATTGCAAACGAGTATTCTGAAAACATAATGCAAGGATGCATGGATTTATCATACGAATTGGATAAGATTCCTGAAGAAACCCATGACTTTGTGCAATATCTTAATTGCCTTGATGGAGCAACTGCCAAATGCGAAGAATTAGAAAAAATGATGGATTATACTGTTGAACTCTATGGCATAATGAAAGATTTAGATGTTGCTTTGGATGAAGAACTTGAAAACAGATTTACTCAATCAAGAAGAGAATTAGGTAATTTTATATAAATTTTTTATAATATAAATATTATTGAACAACTTTTTATATATGTTTAGAGTTTGTTAAAAGTATGATCACCCTCAAGAATGAAAGTCGTGAACAGTTGACAGAAATGTTTAATACATCTGTTGGTCAAGATATCAAAGCTCTTATAGGAGAATTGGATCAAATTCAGCTTTTGGCACTGCAACCTTGGCTTATTGAAAGAGATACGAATCCGCAAGATGTCAGAGACTTTTTGGAAAAATTGCAAACCGATATGGAAAAACTCCAACAGCAAGCTGTTGATATCAAAAACTATCAGAAAGCATTCAAGGTAAGCTTATCGATGTAATAAAATTATTTAACCATCATTTATAAGATGAGTCTGAATCTCTTTTAGGTGGAAATCTTCAGATTTGATCAGCTGGATGATGTCGCTTTAGCAATAAAATTGAGAATTCTTCTCTGGGATAGTTTGGAGGCTTGGAATGCAATGATGGATAAATGGTACAATTGTGACTTTGACGAACTTGATTCCGAAGAAATTAGTGTGGAAACGATTAAGATGTTAAAAAACGTGACTCAGTTAGAAAAAGGTCTGCCTTCTAATAAATTGGTGCCTGTTTTGAAATATGAAGTAGAGACTTTTAAGGAAAAGTTGCCTGTGATTGGATATTTGAGAAATCCGAATTTGAAAACGGTAAACGGTTTGGATTTTCTATACTTTATAATTTTTATTTATTATCAATTTCTACTATTTAGCGTCACTGGCTGAGCATAGAAACAATTTTGGAGCGCAAATTTCCACCAGAAGAGTTACTGACTTTGCGCATGTTAGACGACGCCGGTTGTTTTGAAAAACCTGATGAACTCATGGAAATATCAGGACAAGCCAGTTCAGAGGCTGGTCTGGAAATGCTATTGAAAAAAGTTGAGAATGCTTGGAAAGAGACAGAATTGTCCGTTGTGCCTCATAAAGACAGCAAGGATGTGTTTATTTTGGCAGGTTTGGACGAGGTAACGATAAAAATATTATTTTAAATAATTTATTTAGCATGTGAAAGTTTCACCTGAATTTTGTTGTTTTTCAGCTCCAATTAATTATAGACGAAAGCAACATAAATATCAACACAATTGCTGCCTCTAGACATGTAGGACCTATTAAACCAAGAGTAGATGAGTGGATGCGTGCCTTAGATCTATTTTCAAGAACCTTAGACGAGTGGTACACATGCCAACAAAGTTGGCTTTACCTGGAGGCCATATTTTCGGCCCCTGATATTCAAAGACAATTACCGAAGGAAGCCAAGTTGTTCATTATAGTTGACAAATCGTGGAAGGAAATTATGAGAAGAACTCAGAAGGTTTAATAAAATATAATATGGGTAAACGATGAAATATATAAATAATGACCGTCTGATTTTAGACACCTTTGGCAATGCCAGCGATGACCAGTCCAGGTGTATTGGAAACTTTTAAGAAAAATAATCAATTGCTAGATATCATTACCAGATGTTTAGAAGCATACTTAGAGGTAATTGTAAAATTTTTGAAAGTTTTCAAAAAAATTTTTAATTGTTCTTTTTTTATTTTCAGGTGAAACGTGTTGCATTCCCGAGGTTCTACTTTTTATCCAATGACGAATTATTGGAAATTCTCGCTCAAACCAAGAATCCTCACGCTGTTCAACCACATTTGCGTAAATGCTTTGATGCAATTGCAAAATTGGAGTTTGGTTCGAAAGCTGCAGAAGAAGGAGAAGATCCTGCAGCAGCAGCTCAAGTTCTGACCACTGATATCATTGCTATGATATCACCAGAAGAAGAACGAGTACCACTTGGAAAGGTAAACATAAGGAAAAAAACAGCATTATGCAATTCGCAAGTATAAAAAGTAACAATGACCAGATGTTGATTTGGACTTTGATATTTGTTTGGAGCTTCTAAAAATTGTAACTTTATGCGTATTTCAATTGATATACTGTGATGATGATACAGGGACTGAAAGCTAGAGGAAGTGTGGAGGATTGGCTTGGTAAGGTGGAAGAATTTATGTTTGCCAGTTTGAAACGCAGAATGAAGGCAGCCTATATAGATTATGATGCCAGGGAACGAATGGAGTGGCTAACAATGCATCCGAATCAGGTGAAAATAATTAATTTTTGCTTCAATTATCAATTCCTATCATTCACTTTGTGCATTCACAATTTGATCATTTTTCTGCATATGTAATAAATAAGAGTTTCTCTCATCTTGTGCAGATTGTATTGATAGTATCCCAAACTATGTGGGCTAGACACGTCCACAGAGTTTTAGAATCTACTGGAGATAGAGTCAAATTAATGCAGTTATTTGAGCAAACAAATATCGATCAATTAACATCTATGGCAGCACTTGCTAGAACAGACATTTCCAAGTTATTGAGAAAAATTCTGTGTGCACTCATCACCATTGATGTACATGCCAGAGATAATATATCAAACATGGTGAAGCATAGAGTGGCATCAGCGTAAGTATTATTGGATCAAATTATTCTTTATGCTCAAATATGCTGGATGTAAATTTTTATTTTCTAGAAACGATTTCGAATGGCTCAAAATGATGCGTTACTACTGGTTGACTCAAACGGAGACCATTGAAGCCAGAATGTCCAGTGCTTGTCTTCCATACAGTTATGAATATTTGGGTGCAGGTGGTGTACTCGTTATAACACCTTTGACTGATCGCTGTTATTTATGTTTAATGGGAGCCCTACAGATGGATTTAGGAGGAGCACCTGCTGGACCAGCTGGTACTGGGAAAACGGAGACTACTAAAGATTTGGCTAAAGCTTTGGCTGTTCAGTGCGTTGTTTTCAACTGTTCTGAGGGTAAACATAATACATAAAATTATAAAGGTTGGATATTAAATACTATAGTCTATTTACCAAGTTCTATATATATTTTTTAGGCTTGGATTACAAAATGATGGGTCGTTTCTTCAGTGGTCTAGCACAGTCAGGAGCATGGTGCTGTTTTGATGAATTCAATCGAATTGATATAGAAGTATTGTCTGTAATTGCTCAACAACTTGTCACCATAAGAAATGCCAAGGTAGCTGGTGTGACCAGATTTATGTTTGAAGGAAGGGAGATCAAGTTGGTTAGATCTTGTGCTGCTTTCATCACCATGAATCCAGGATATGCAGGAAGAACAGAGTTGCCGGATAATTTAAAAGTAAATATTAGTGATTTACACATAACAATAATTCCACGATATGTTGATTAAACAATGATCTATTTTTAATTTAGGCTTTATTCCGTCCAATGGCTATGATGGTTCCTGACTACGCCTTGATTGCAGAAGTTATATTGTATTCTGAAGGATTTGAAGCCTCGAAACCTCTAGCACAAAAAATGGTGCAAATGTACAAATTGTGCAGTGAGCAACTTTCTATACAAGATCATTATGATTTTGGTATGAGAGCAGTCAAGAGTGTGTTGGTAAGTTTTTTGATAGAGATTCGAATTGGGCTTTGTGCAATTTGACTACTGAATACAATTATTTCTAATACTCATGTAATAGTATTGAACACTACTTTTTTTTCTTAAATATTAATTTCTCTGAATAGGTAATGGCAGGTGCATTAAAGAGAGCAAATCCAGATCAGAGAGAAGATGTCACCTTAATTTGTGCTCTGAGAGATACCAATTTACCAAAATTCTTGGCTGATGATGCAGAATTGTTCAAAGGAATTTTGAGCGATCTGTTCCCTGGTTTAGAATTGCCGGTGCAGGAACACGGAAGTCTTTTCAAGGCAATAGGTAATAAAATTGAAGTTAAAGTCTATTATTTCACTAAACATATTTTTCTATCTTATCAATAACTATTTGAATTTAAATTTTAGTCGAAGTGTTGACTGAAAATGGTTTCCAACCAGAAGAATGTATCATTCTGAAAATAATCCAATTGCATGAAACTATGGTAGTACGTTGGGGTGTTATGCTTGTTGGACCTACAGGTAAATTCACAGAAAAAAGAGTAATAGTGAAAAACATAATGTCTATCTTAAATTCTACAGCACTGATTATGAGAACTACTTTTTGAAAAATAAAACTTTTAATTTTTTCTGCTGCAGATTGAGTATTTTTTATTTATTAATATTAGGTGGTGGCAAAACGACAGTTCTGCATGCTTTGGGAAATGCTCTTACAAGATTATATGATTGGGAAGAACCAGATCCATATTACAGACCTGTTAATAAATTTACGATGAATCCAAAAGCTATACACATCTCAGAGTTGTATGGTGAAGTCAATTCTATGACTCTGGAGTGGAAAGATGGGCTCATGGGTAAGTAGGCTCAACAATAAATAAATTATAAATTTAGTCTGTACCAATACATTAATCAATTACATGGATATAAGATATTTATTTAGCTATGTTGGATAGGAATTGCTGTCCGACAAGCTTGTTCCAGCACTGAAGAAGCTCATCAATGGATCATTAACGATGGTCCAGTAGATGCAGTATGGATTGAAAATCTGAACACCGTTTTGGACGATAATAAAATGTTGTGTTTGGCAAACTCTGAAAGAATAAAATTAACGCCTTGGGTCCACATGGTGTTTGAAGTTATGGATTTGTCTCAGGTAAACCAGATATTACTTCAAGTGATGCAATATTTTGATATAAACAATTTTATGTAGGCATCTCCAGCTACAGTCTCGAGATGTGGAATGGTTTATATAGATCCTGAAAATCTTGGATGGCTACCTTATGTTAAGTCTTGGTCACAAAGATTGCCATCAAACGCTCTTCTGCCTGAGCATATGAAATTTTTGATGGGGCTCTTCACAAAGTTCTTGCCTCCGATAATGCAGTATGTGAGAAAACATGGCGCGTATTCAATTCATCAGGTTAAAACAAATTTTGCTGTATTAAATTTTATACAGATAGTTTTGATAAGTCTTATTTTTCTCAGGTTGATATCAGCAAGATCACAATGTTATGTTCTCTCATTGAGACTTTGCTAAAACAAGCAGGACCTGGTCAAGGTTTGGGAGTAGCTGCTGGAGACAAATCTAAGGCTAGGACTTATGTCTGCCAAATTTTTATTTGGGCAGCCTTGTGGTCAGTTGGTGGTAATCTGCTACAAGATTCACGGGAAAAGCTGCAAGACCTTGTGAAGGAAACATTTCAAGCTGTACCGGAAGCATAGTTAGTTCTATAATAAGGAAAAAATAATTAATTTTTGTATTTTACTAATTGCCTTTTTAGTCTACCTCCTGATGTTGATCTTTGGACAGTTTTCATGGATCCCAAAATCCGCAAATTATGTGATTGGGATTTAATAGTCGACGAGTTTGAGTATAATGCTGAAGTGAAGTTTTTCGAAATGCTTGTGCCTACAATAGATACTGCCAGATTTGGACATGTCGCTGCACTTTTGTTAGAAGCCAGAAGGCCAGTAATGTTTACAGGGGATACTGGTGTAGGAAAATCAGTTATTGCTCGAGAGGTAAATAGGGAAATAGATTAGCAGTCAAGCCAAAATTTAGCTACCACTTTTCTTGTAACTTTGACTTGCGTTTTTATTATGATTAAATCTTTATTATTTTTAGGTTTTAAACAAATTGAACGAAGAATCTAATGCCATACCAGCTATATTGAACTTCTCAGCTCAGACGAGCAGTTTTCGTACTCAAGAAATGTTGGAACTCAGAATGGAGAAAAGAAGAAGGACGCAAATTGGAGCACCCATTGGAAAATATGTTATAATTTTTGTGGACGATGTGAATATGCCGAAGCTGGAAATATATGGTGCTCAACCACCCATAGAATTACTCAGGTTTGATAATTGATGGTAGAATATAGAATAGTTTGGACTTAGAAAGTTAGATTTTTGAAATAAGTAAATTACATGGGAGCACTCTTTCACCTAACTGGCTTCAATTTTCTTAGGCAAATTCTGGACTTTGGTGGCCTTTACGATCGTGAAAAAATGTTTTGGAAAGATATCGTTGACGTGGTGATATCTTGCGCATGTGCTCCTCCTGGTGGTGGACGAAATCCATTGACTCCTCGATTTGTCCGACATTTTAGTATGCTGCTGATTCCTCCTCCTCAAGAAATATCCTTAAAAGTCATTTTTTACGTGAGTGATGAAATTATATAAAAATAATTATTAAAAGCAATTTTGGTTTGACAAAAACAATTAAATTATAAATATTGATTTTATAATATTTCTCTCTTCTAGTCCATTCTGAAAGGATTTTTCGCAGACTTTACAGTACCCATAAGAGAATTGGCAGAGCCTCTGGTGGCAGCTGCAGTCGTCATATACGAACGAATAGCAGAGGAATTGTTGCCTACCCCTGCAAAATCTCATTATGTATTCAATTTGAGAGATTTATCGAAATGCGTTCAGGGAATTTTACAAGCCAATAGTGATACCATACGAGATCAGCCTCAGATGAATCGATTGTTCTACCATGAATGTTTAAGAGTAATTATAAGAAATAATAAGAAATTAAAGAAATAACAGTGTGTTACTGAACTCTTGTATATTTTATATTTATTTCAGGTTTTCCATGACCGTCTAATAAACGACGAGGATAAAACTTATTTCCATAGTTTGATGCGCGAAGTTTGTACTCGGTTTTTAGATACTCCAGTTTTAAAACCTGGAGAACTTTTGCTTTATGGAGACTTTATGTACCCTGGCAAGGCTAGAGAGGAGAGGATTTATGAAGAAATTACGAATCTGGATAAATTGCGGAATATATTGACAGTGCGTGCTTATAAAATAGTTTTTGTAACTTTTCAACCACTTAAGTAAAAATTTGATAAGGTTTCTAACTTTTTAAAATGATGAAGACTGCTGCTGCCGCGGAGGTTAAGATATAGTAATGGCAAAAAAATGAAAATTTTTATATATCTTTACGTTTCAAGGGTTTCTGAACATATTTGCATATCTTAGAAAAAAATTATGTGTGTGTGTATGTGTGTGTATGCGTGAGTGCGGATACAAATTTTTGTGGATGATTTTGCGAACACGGATTAACCGATTTGAATAATTTAAAAAACATTTGATTCCTACTGATAAGGAGACGGGCTGAGTAGTTTTTGGCAAAGGCAGTTCTGAGTTACGGGGCGAAAAGTGCTAAAATTGTATTTAAGTTTTTGAGATAACGGAGCGTCCGATTTAAATAATTTAGAAAACATTTTACTTGTATTGACGAAATGAACAACTGATTTCTGTAAAGGCAGGTCCAGCGTCGCTGGAGATACATTGAAAAAAAAAAGAAGCTAATGCCATTTGGCGGTCAAAACTGAACATTAGACATATGTACATCGTATTGTCAGATATTTTATAAAGATTATAATGATAAGTACAAATTTTGTGTACATTTATATGGACTGAATACCGGATCAGTTATACAAAAGTTAAATATTACATTCGTTGAATAATGTAGAGCTATTATTTCGTAAAATCCGTTAAAATTAAAAATAAAACATTGGACTTGATGCCTTCTTGCCGTCTTTGCAAGAAACACATTTCTACAATGGTGAATTAGCTAAGAGTATTACTGAAGTTGGTCAGATAATTGTTTGTTTGATATCTGTTATTTGTTGTGATATTATTTGTTTGTTTTCATAATATTATTGCTCAAAATCATATTAGATGTACTAATGTTTACACGTTGGCTACGCGGCGTTCACGCGCTTTGATATTTTGACTCCAAATCAGCTATGCAGTGTGATTGCTTAAAAATGTTCAAAATTTTCAAAATTTTCAAAAAAATTTAAGATACAAAAAAATCGAATATAAAAAGAAATCAATTTTTTCAAAAAACTTTTTTTTTTCAAAAATTCTCAAAAATCAAATTTTTTCAAAGTTTTGCAAAGTTTTTGTTAATTATTTAGTTTTCGGTAAGTTTCAGCAATTTGCCTTAAGGTACGATGCCATGCATCACTATAGTTTACCTAATAATGGCAATTAAAACAAAATTAATTTATTATTACTAAATAAACAATTTAGTACATTTATTAATTTTCATTCAGGATTTCATGGACGATTACAACATCGTGTACTGCAAGGACGTCCACATCGACTTCTTCATCGACGCGATCGAGCACACTCTGCGACTGACCCGCCTCCTGCGGGCAGAGCGCGGAAACGGGCTGATGGTCGGAGTCAGCGGCATGGGCAGGCAGACGTTGACCAGGCTGGCGTCGCATGTCAACGGATACAAGTGAGTCGAAAGAAATTGGTAGATTAATTTTTTAACGTCCCAAAGTTGTTTTTTTTGCAAAATATTCCGATTTGCTAACTTTATGTTTTCTCGACGTTTCAAGTCATTCTGAATCGAATGAGACCAAATATAGAAAAAGTAAAATCAATAAGAAGAATCTTTCAGACTTATATACATCGAAAATATACATTTATTTTTTTACAGGTGTATGCAAATTGAATTGACCCGAGGATACGATCACAGTTCCTTCCAGGAAGATTTGCGTGCCTTGTATTGGAAAGCTGGTGCTGTTGATGAACCTACGGTGTTTTTGTTTACTGATACGCAGATTGTAAAAGAAGAATTTTTAGAAGATATTAACAATATACTAAATTCAGGTAAAATAGTTATTTATAATTTGATTAATATTTTTAACTTCCCGTAGGGTAAGTTAAAGTAATCGCAAAAAAATCGAAAATGAAAATTTTTGCATATCTTCACGTTTCAGAGGTTTCTAAACATTTTGGCATACTTTAGAAAAAATTGATGTGCATGTGTGTGTATTTGGGTTCGGATACAAGTTTTCGTCGACGATTTCGACAAACACAATTCAATCGATTTGAATGATTAAAAAAATATTCGATTTCTATTGATAAGGAGCGGTTTGGAGATACAAAAAAATGTAAAAAAAATGATATTTGGCGGTTTAAACGACCATTGGACACGTGCACGTCACATTGTTAGATATAATAGAGATTTAAAAAAATGAGTACAAGTTTTGTTACAATTTTTTTGGGTGTGTAGTACCAAGATTTTTAATTGTTAAAGTTCTCTTATGCGGTTCAACAAATTTCAAAAATATACAAAATTTCATACTTTAGATTTTAAATTTACAATTCAGTTTAAAAATGTTTATATTTCATATCCGTTATTGTAATCGTAAGAAATATATCCTCAGATGGATTCATTCGGAATCTCGTTTTAATGTAAACATTTCTAAGTGTTTTGAGGGATAAGATCGTCACTGTATATTATGAGAAAAAATTATTAGCAGAGAAAAAAGAAAAAATATGTTTTATTTCAATCGATTTGGTCAATCGATAAGTTGTGGGAAGGGTAAGTAAAACCTTTGTAGATATTTAAGGCTTGTTAAGAAAATTGCAAAAAACATTTATTCGATCGGCACAACTGGAGATAATTAATTTACCGCAGAGGATGTTCATAGGAGTTGAGCAATAAATCCATATTTCAATCGTAAATATTTACGTAAAAAAAATTTTTTTCAGCAAAATCCTGAAATACGTATCAAATGATTTTATGTATAATATCTGTAAAAAAAAATTCAGACAATTTTAAATGTCAAGGTTTGGTTGGTGTGCGGTGTGTAAAAAAATTACCTATATATATTAATTATAATTATCTCTTTGAAAATATTTAAGACAATTGTTTTTAATCATTGATTTATATTTATTGATTATTAGTTTTTTTTTGCTCGAATACTTAATTCTGGTACGGAAAATTTCAACAATTTGCCTTAAGGCACGATGCCATGCACCACTAGTTGCAACTCAAATAGCAATGTTTGTGGATTTCTGACCCAATATGTATGGTGAGAAAAATATAATTATGGTACATCTCGAGAAATAAAGATTTCTCCTGCGAAAGAAGTTCTATATCGCAAATAATTGTCAGTTATAAATGTCAGTTTATCGAAAATGACATTCAATTACTAGGTGAGTGAGGTTCCCAACTTATTCGAAAGCCGACGAGTACGAAAAGGTGATCATAGCTTGCAGAGATGC